CAATTGAGTTTATTTGTATTTAACTCATTAAAATGCACATATAAACAAAACAGCCTTCTTTCTCGTTTTTTTTACCTAGTTTGTGCATCGTGTAGCACTAAAATAGAAGAAACACAATCTTCGGCTTTTCATATACCTTTGGTTATTTAACCCTAATCTGCTTGCACAAACTACTTATACCGTTCACACCAGTGCAGACCTAGATCAGATGCCTGCTTTGTTCACCATTCAGTTAGTACATATTTTTAAAATTTTCCTGCAAAAAATCAATGGTTTGGACAAGCTAATTTAAGATATTTAGCAAGTTAAGGGTTAAGATAACAGAAAAACAGTCATTTAATGTCATTTTTAACATTTACACAAAGTGTTGTGATCTGTGTGGGTTTTAGAAAATGCATGAATATTGTGTACAACAAATCAATATTGTATCTTCTAGAAATACATACGAATTGCAATGTTTCTAAACGTGAATACACACAAACATAAGTTCACCTTTGAAAACAGCACATTTGCGGACTCAAAGGCAATAAAACAGTTATAACAATTTATATCTGAAAAAATGTATATATACCAAAAGGGAACAATAATGTTATGTAAACGAGAAGATTATTCATTTTAACTCGTCCGTTCCTGATCATATATTTCGCGCAATCGACAATTTTCCCAGACAAGAAAACAATTATTCTTGTGAACATGAGACTCGATATAAATGTGAAAAAGATAAGATCTATCTGAAAAAGAAATATATGGTTATGTTTCTTATGTCAATGTGATCGCTATTTGTTATGAATTTGTTATGGATTCTTATACCACAACTGAATCCTTTGTACACAAACATTCCAAATTTCAATGAACTATAATATCTATATAAAACTATACAAACTAAACAAATATTTTTGTTTTACGTTGCATTTTATATGGTATTTGACTTGTTATTTTTTGTTTGAATTGTATGATAAATTGGTGCAAGGGAAAGATAAAATGGCAATTGTAAATCGTAAAATATTATACCATAGGCAAGAGGCGTGTCCGTATAATCAAGTTAATTCTGTTTTCAGATGTAAGGAGTTATTTTGTTGTAGACAGATAATGTTTTAACCACGATAATCGAGTTGCTCTAAATAAATGACTTATAAAGCAGTTTGTACGTATGAACACCAGATGGTCTGCAATCAAAATGACGCAGCAGAGCTATATCAAGCTTCACTCTATATCCCGCTTGCGTTGTTCGTGACTTCATTTCCAATTATCAAATAAGTTTATCTCTATTTCAAAATGATCATATAAACACGAACTTGTAATCTTATTTATCTCAGTTATTTAAATTTTCTTTGTTGAGGAAGTACTTATCGAAATGGCATACATTCTTTGGTGCCTTAAAGCATATATTACTTGGAAAAATCTTTCATTGGCGAGTGCAAATCTGCTATTTGTTTGTTTCTATTGGAAGTATTTACTTTTAGAAATAAGCAAGCTAAAAACTTAAATATAGAGAAATAAGTAGCTATAGCTGTAGTTATAAATAGTTACTTCCTTACTTCCTGAAAGTATACTGCATTGCCTGGCAAATCATCGTCATTTAGAAGTAATATTTCACTTTGTAATAATATATTCTTTAACATCGTCTTAATGCCGAAAAAGCTCACAAAATGCGAAGTTTATCTCTTGAAGATAGTGAATTGAGTGAGTTTTATGATATTGTAGCATGATTGTACCCCTTATAATCAAAGGGCCGCAATCTCTGTGGTATTTTCTGATCTTTGCAATCTAATTCGTACTGTATATCTGTATGTATTTTCCTGTATAAGTTTATTTTTATATACTATAATTCATCTTACAGGGCATCGAGATGCAGCGACTGCGTTGAGATTTTTTTCTATAACAGTTTAAATTTGATACATACGGAATTTTGCATGACTATAGTTGTATCAAAAAATCATTTATGTTCATTTTTTATGACAGCCACACTTTATCCTTGCGTATCGTGGCTACCTCTTTAAAAAAAAGACACTTAAAAAATAAGTTGCCTCTACTGGGATTTGAACAAGTCCTCTCACATGTAACCCCTGCACCATAGGGAAGTTATACGAAAAAAAAGGCCTGAATAAAATCAAATGATTATAAATTTAGAATTTCCATTTCGGGTTTGTAATCCTTATTTTGTTCACGATAAACCTGTTGTTTAACACTGCTGTAAATAATTTAGCGAAAATCTTCTCTCAACTCGACAGTCAGATTTATTTGTGTACTACGCTCTATCGACATCGCTAAAATAACATTTTCATGGATTAAAATGATATTCATCCGCGTAATTTGTGATTGTGCAATTATTGACAATTCGATTACCAACGCTACTTTTAGACTCTGAGTTGGATACTTGTAACAAAATAAAACTATTTCTTTCTTTTACATCGCATGTTTTAAGCTGTTTTGAGAACTACTTGTTGTTAGGTTTGTCGTGAAATTCTGTGTCAGAGATTGAATGTCAGAATTGTATTTCCTGATCTGCGATCAAATAAAATACAAAAACGGATTGATAATGATATTGCCCTTATTTGATCTTAAGATTATTTTATGTTAAGCATTTGGATGAGATAAGCAATGAATACTTTCTTTGCTCATATTGTTAGTTGATTTCGATATTGTATATTTTTATGTGCAAAGTTGGTGTAAACTGTAAGCATTTTGAGTTGTTATGTAATATTTCAAAGTCAGAGCTGTCTTAGAAGGACAGGGAATCGGTTAAAGAGGGCATTTAGGACTGACGCACATTATTCATTGCCGCTCATTTCATTTCAGCCGAACCTATGACATTTTCAATTTTGCAGGGCGACCTTATTTTTTATTACCACTGTAAGCGATAAATCTTATATGCTCGCCGAAACATAATTCATTATTTTTGTTATGGACTACATAGTATCAATATGTTGATGACGTATCAATTGTTTAATAAACTTGCAGTTTTTAATGTACTTTACCTAGTAATATTCAACTAGTTTAAATGCTTGTTTATCTTGTCATACATCTGCCTTAGTAACAAATACATCCAGAATGAAAGCTGGCTTTATTATTACGCTGAAGTTGCAATTAAACAATACATGTATTTCCAAATGTTGTTATGGCATAACGTTAAATTGTTCTCCTTATTTTGTTCAAACAATACCAGCTGCAACTCTTTGGCCATTTTAATTAAACAAGGTTAAAAAACAATAGTCAGATTGAAGAGAACAACCATTGCAATGGTATTTTGGTTAAAAATTTTCTACAAAATACAAAGTAAATTATGCAAGTTCTTGAGTAAAACAAAAAAAATCTGGAAACAAAGTGATCCCTCGGAAGCATTAATCACAACAAAATTACATAAGAATTGCAGACTCGGTTTGATTGAGTCTGTACATGAGGGATAAAGAATAAGTGCAACATCCCTCACGCCCCCTAGTAAGTTTACTTTATTACATATCTAATGCATAAATACATTTGTATAACGAACAACAAATCAATCAATCAGTCATAACATAACCGAAATACATTTTTTTACTGATATCTTTACTTGATCATACTTCATATGAACAAATAAATTTGAAATCATTTAAGAAATCCATTATCGTCTTAAAACTATACAAAACGTCGTATTCGAATTTCCCTAATAAATATCTAAACATGTTCTTGTAATAAAATGTAAAATGAATACCATTAAATTCAGAAAGTTAAGTAAACGTCAAATCTTCCGTCACTATATTTACTAAAAGAAGTTTTTTGTTGTTTTGGGGGCTTTTTTGTGTTGTTTTTTTTTGTGTTTTTTTCTTCTTCTTCTTTTCAATTTCATAATTCAAAATGCATTTAAACATTGTAAATCATTAAATACACTATCTACAAAAAGCTTTCGTGTGAAATAACATTTTGTTAGTGAAAAATAAATTGTGTACCGTAATGTTAAGACTTTGAAGGTCTTGTATTGTAATTCTCTTGGGAACTGAGCACTTTCAACACATAGAAAATTGTTACTGTTGCCACTATTTCTAAAACACTCCTCGCACTATACACAATGAGAATATTACGTTGGAAAATGTGTTTAAAACGATTTTTTGAAAAAAAATACATTAGAGGGACGATTCAAACAGAAATAGTGCTAAAAATAATACTCACGGGAAATAGGGCGACAGAATAGTCTGAGCCATTTGTCAGAAAATCAAATGAAAAAGTATGAAATAATATCTAAGCGTCATGCCATGAAATGCTTCATTTCATAATGGGCTTAATCAAATAGACACGAATAGGATATGGAGTGATACTCCGTGTAAAATTGAATGAATTGAAAAACACGATGTCCCTCAGTGTGTTATTTTAACAACTGATTGTTTCACAGATCTTATGCTCCCAAGCTTGAAGCTTTTTCTTGTTTAGTGAATCTTTTTTAGGAAATCAAACTAAGAGCGTCTGGAATGACCAGAGGTTTTTACATTGAACACTTCTCAATGTCTTACTTAATTTATATGAATAAAAAAACTAAAAATAATAAATACATACGTTTTCTTGAGTTTTATTTTGATTTTTTAGTTTTAGTTAAATATTTGAAACAATCGGAATTACGTTTTAACAAATTTGATCCTAGACGGTATATTTCACCGATCTTTGTGAACTAATGTTATTTTCATATTTCAAGATTTTGGTTTTGCAAAATACTAGTAAATAAGACCGCATTTGATTAATTTGATTCAAAGTGAATCTATAATTCAGTGTAATTATTAAAACAAAACATTATTGCAATGTCCTTGTAAATCTACCAAGCAAAATACAGAGGTCGTCTCTCGAACATCGTAGTCTATTTGATATTAAACAAAGAGAATGGTTTTAGTACCTTACTTGCTTTGCTTTGACATGACCAAATGTACATCACCGAATCAATATATCTGTCTCCAGTACAGGTTTCAGCGTTTTGAATGCTGTATACAAACTAGATCTCTTTTAAAAGGAAATATCGGCGATTTCTCACACACTCTCTCTCGCTTTTCTGTCTTGTGCTTGCGTTGGTTGGTTTCAATTATTTGTTCACAGTTGGAGTGTCTTAAAGTTATTCTATTATTTTACTGGACGTATAATCATAACTTCCGTATTCATATAGAGTATTATGTGCATAAATACTTTATAAATATGTAAAATATCAATTTGATAATCAAAATCTTCATTGATAAAATATTTAGGCGGAGAAGATATATTATAATTTATAACAGTGTATAAGGCTTTGGTAATCAAAAAAGAAATCCAGAAATTAACAGATTATAGATTAACTATTTGTAAAAGGCAGCGAGGATGATGTAGTAATAAATTAATATAGTTAGAGGATATGTTTGCACCACAGGAAGCCGTACTATTGTACGCTTTGAGCATTTTTAATAATATGTAAGTTAAAGAATTACTGCTGGCGTTTTAACTGCAAAACATATAGTGTATTTATATATAAAGTGTTCTAGATATCGCCCAAAAAACAACAAGGTTATTCAGTACCAGCAAACATCATCAACAATAAAATATATTATATGAGTGGATATGTAATAACCGTAACATTTCTACTCGTATTCTGGTAAGTTGTTTATATATTTATACAATATTGTGTTTTATTGTTATTTGTATTATCACATTTCGAATCTAGTGTAATGATATGGAGTAAATCAATTTGTTATTATTATCACAAAAACTGACTGGGAATGATATTTAAGAAATAACATCGGCCTGAGAGGTGTATATCGGCTATTTAACACCGGTTTGGAGTTTTGATGCGTAGGAATTGACCACGAAGGCCGTAAGCCTGAGTGGTTAATTTTGTCGCATCAAAACGACAAAACCGGTGTTAAATAGCCGATATACACCTCTCAGGCCGATGTTATTTCGATTCTAACACGATAAAATAAGGAAAATCACTAATGTTATTTTTCAAGCGGAAATTAATCAACTTACGATGACGTCATTACGCTGCTTACGGATTGGCGCCGTTTTGTCAAAATATTTATTAACTGATATGGATCTAATATGTGGCGTTAGTGTATGTGAGATATTATTTCGGTATTGTATGAAAAGAAAACATTATACGAACTATGAAAAGAAAACATTATACGAACTGAAAATGTAACTAAAATTTTTTTTATTGTTGCTTTAAAATGCTTTGTAAACTATACAATCGAGGGTGAAAACATAACAGCGCATATACAAGTAGTCCCTAACCGGTGTTTATTGGCAGTTTAACACCAGTTTTTTTCCTTCTTTGTCTATAGTGACAAAATCACGTGAGTGTTAGAATATACTATTTCTTAATAGTAGGTTGTTTTAGATTTTAACATAGCTTTTGAAATATTATTTTTAGAAACAGGTAACTTATAAAATAAAAGAAATTACTAAATCAATACAGCAAGGAGCTTCCCTAAAGTTTATTTATGGTATTAACATTATAGTCTGTGTTCTTTAGTCTTTTTGTTCTTCTTATAATAATACTAAATTAAACTTTTATTACAGAGACTGACTTTGTATTTACATATTTATGTATGTATATAGCGTTCATAATGCTTTTCTTTTTTGATAGACGGGGAACTGCAGAAGAATTTTCCTTTATAAAAAACGGCCAAAAATTATAAATGTAAAAGGAAGAAATTACAATCATTATTTACCATATAAAAATACTTAAATTACTCTGTGTTTGGACCTTTTATAAAAGTCAAGTTCTTTGTATGCGTATTAATATTTCATGTTGCAGGACAGTTGTAAAATGATACGTTCCTAAATCATGAGATAAGGTTTTAAAGGATAACATGTGAGAGATAAATATACATTTTACATTATAAACATATAAACAAACAGTGGTGATATACTCTTCAACCTTATATGTCAGTCCGATTATTTTTACAAGCACTTCAAAACAAGGAGAGTTGGTTAAGAAATGAAAGCGTTAACCTCTTAATTCTGTGATAGTTGGTTTAAACCTTATTGCTGTCAGTACGTATAAAACAACTGTTTCCTGAATGGAGTTCAACTGTTGTTCAAAATTGTTCAAGATTTCACAGTCGAACTTAAATCAATATATTCCAACTAAATGCTCTTTGTTAATGCGCAGTCTCGATCATTACATGAATTGCCGGGGGAGTAGGGTTTGCATACTGCAGTGGCAAAGCAAATTGTTTAAAATGTAATACAGCGCATTTGTTTTCACTGAACCGCACCATCAAAGTAATTCTAGAAAATAGCGTTGAACAATGGCCTCGATGTTGACAGATCTAATAAGAGAAGGAATTATGAAAACAGATTTAATCTGGCTTGAAATGTAATCAGTCTGAACACACGTAATTGGATGCCCATTGTACTTGTATTAAAATACTAATGAAATAACGTTCCGGCAAAAAATGATAGTTAATTTAACTCATTCTTAGAGATGAAACATTTGATTCACCTGACATGTGTTCATTATTCTGGATTTTTTTTCAAGTCAAGTCAAATAATTAAATGGCTTAAACATTCTGCATGTCCATACTAAATATTATGATAGGCGGTTAGATTTAAACATAAACCACTAACACATGTACAAAACAATACTGTAACTATTGGTGTGTATGACATAGTTACACAATTACAAACTTATTTAATTTTGGCTATTTATATTAATACTAAAATAACGTTTTCGCTTAGCAATTATATTAAGTCATTAGAGGAGTTGTAGTTATTGTTTTACTTGACAAATATCCATTATTTTTCTGTTAAAATAACGTTTGCGCTAAGTATTTTATATTGACTCATTAGAAATGAAAAATGACAAAATAAGCAAATGATGAAAGCAAGTGTATGTTGTTTAGACATTGGTCGTGCCTTAACTTCATTTTCAGAGACGTAAATATCATCAGCATAATGAAATATGACAGACAACACGTGAATATAGGATACGATATTTCCTACAAAATGTGTACCGTATGTTTTATTACGATAGTGTTGAAACAATACCATTTAGAATAAATAGACAAGTTTTCTGTCTATTGTCAATACATTTAACAGTTATTATCTTAATGTGAATATCTTTATACGAGTTAAAGAAAATACATATTTTCTAGTTACCTAGCATTTCTATTAATTTCTAAAACAAATGACCAAACTGTATAAACTTAATGTTTGTATAAAATTAAATGTGATGGGCAAGTAAAAATATTTCATACTTTCCCCTAGTCGGAACCAGTATTTACTAAATTAATTGTATCCTATTTCTTTAAAAGATTCTCCTATCTGTACCAATGTACTAGCATTTATAAACTGAGAGTTATGGTATTTGGCAGAACATGTAAAACCGTATGTGTTACTATTTATTTATTGTAGGAAAACTATAATAAATTGAACGTTTGAACAATAAGAATGATGTAAGTATTACAACTCTAAATTTGTTTTTGAGAATATGTATGACTTCATGTCCAAAACTGCTGCAGTTTTACCAATAGTAATGCTTCTGACTTCATTCCTTGATACAGTGAAGTTACGAACACGAAGGCACTGGAACAATTTATATGAGAAACGTATAAACGAAACCAAAGGGAAAATAATGTTATATTTACTAGTAGGTAATTCATTTGAATTCAAACAGTCCTCCTGATCATATATTGTCCACAATCAACAATTTCCCAGACAAAAAAGAAACAAAACAATTATTTTCGTGAAGATGGAAAAAACAATATAAAATGTGAAAAAGATTAGATATATATGAGAAAGCGATATTTGGCTCTGTTTTATATGCCACTGTTTATCTTTTACCAGTTTCTGTTGGACGAAAACACCACTGTCAAAACTGGTTTGGCAGCTGTGTACGAGTCCGGTAGAATCAGTATTGTTCTCAAGAATATTTATGTAACCTCTTTATTTCACGCAAAATTTTCAAGTTTTTTTTGGACAAAACTCTGTAACTTCAAGTCCAATAAGGATTTGATATAAAATTCTGGACTCTTATAAATGATAACGAGGCTGTATGGGGTTCGATGTGCATTTGATTAGGATCTTTTGAACTCGTGAAATGAGAACGAGGCTAAATTGATATGATTGGATCCTATAATGATTTCTACTGAAACATCACGTTGTGCAAACGCTGAAAGTTTATTTGTTATAAATTATGTGTGAAATACAGATTGCTATCATATATTACTATCACCTTTAATTTGAACATGTATAGTCTCTGCCAGATGATATCTTAAGCTTTTCGTTGCATTTTGTATTTTGTTAACCTTTTAATTCACGTAATTATTGTATTGTACAATGAATAAAAGGGAATGTAAAAAATCTATTCTTGAGAAATATGTAAATATCTAAGAACTGTATAATCAAATTGACTCTGTTTAGAACCATGGTTATTACCTTTTTTCTGAAGATATAAGGAAGCGTTTTGCAGCCTGATTACATTATTCTGCCATTATACAAATAACCGCTTAACTATTTTAAAAGTTTACTTAAGTGAAACAAGTTGTAGATATCGTTCCTAGCAGAGTAATTTGAAGTCATAAATAAAATGTTAGTGTAACAATTTGAAGGGTTTGTCTGATTTTATTTATAAGAATGTGGTATGAAAACTAATGAGATAAAAAAAATAACGCTTTATATGCCAGAAATTATATAAATATGTAATGTATAAACATGGCCTAGTCCTAACAATAATAGGCATACTTATCCGTTCGGAATTTTTTTTGCTATTACTTTTTACTTCCTTTTTTCTAGGAATTATTTCTCGATATGATATACAAAGCTTTTCTTTATTTGCTGCTAAGAAAACCTATTTATTTACCAACGAAAGTCTGCTCGAAAGTCTTGTTCTAATAAAAGATTTCGTTTTTATATGTAAGCACTACAATGATAAATTAATCCGTAGAAATAAGTAGATATAATTGTTATCATAAATAGTTATTTCCTGGAAGAAATGCAGTCTTTATCGAGCCAACGTCGTATTTCACTTTGTAATGATAGATACTTCAGCATTGTATAAATGCCAGAAAGCTCACAAAATCCGAAATGTAACTTCTGAAGATGATTAAATATTTGTGTCTGATTCCAGAATAAGTGTGCGTTTCTTTTTAATCAAACAAGTTGTTGTAATAGAAATAACAATAACAATGAAGTTATTTTATTATTAGAATATATAGTATGTTTGTATATGTATTCTATTATATATACTTGATTAGCTGATAAGCATGTGGCTCAGAAAACAACGAACACTTTCTTCTTTTATCTAGAAAGTAAATTGTAACATAAAAATTATTTCTTTTAATTATACGATGTAATGCACAATGTTCTTCATAAATTCCAGCAAATAAAACTAAGGTTTTAATCGAAAAAAAATTTGCATTTAGTTGCTGTCACATTTTTGTATATTCTTACTGTGAACAATACAATTTCATGTCATGATAAAAAGTTTTATTCCATGATAACTTTTTTGTCAACTTGTAGTTTTAAAATCATACATACGTAACCTTTTTATTGTTTATTTGTATTCAGTTTTTTTTTCAATATTGTTTTTACTCTCTATAAAAAAAATGAGCATGTCTGTTGTTAATTAGCAGTTCATACAAATGAAGT